GCAGTTTTTTGGTGGTAAAATTAGGTGCCTTGGCTGATACTCAGGTCGGCTTATACTCGAGTATATACGCTACTCCACCCACGGCACTCTATTTATATGCTGGGCTGGATAACTTGTTGCAGTGGCCACACAGAACTCACAGACAGTACTCACAATTAAGGGGGTTATTAAGGAAGTTAAGAGCCCTTGTGATCAAGCATTGGCCTGCTAACTGCAAGGCCAGCAGTTCAAAACCACTAGCTGCTCCATAGGAGAAAACAAGGCTTTTTATCCTCGTAAAAAAATTAGTCTTGGAAACCCACAGGGGCAGTTCTACCCTGTCCTATGGGGTCACTATGAGTCAGAATCGACTTGAGTTGAGTTTATTAGAGAAGTTAATAGGCTGCCATTGGTCAGGATTGGCAACTAGTAAGGATACTGTTTGTTATTGGTCCACAGCAACATCTCCCCTCAGCCGCTCACCAGTCCCTAGTCTCATCACCACATGATAGATAGCCAAAGCTCTCTCCGTTCCTTAGCCTCTCAACCACGTGCTAGCTGAGTCTCCCTTGGGTGCTCTGCCTCAGCAACATGGTCCCTTGGCCTTTGCCTCCTTGTGCCAGGGAGCCAGCTTGTTGCTCTGCCGTAGAGTCGCAAAGTCTGGATGCTGTTCCCCTTGTCCTGCCCCGTAGTCGCCAGTTCTTTTCAATGTAAAGACTGTATATTCCTTATATCTTCTTTCCCCCCTTCGATTTCATTTTATTTTAAGCAGTTTTATTGACATGATCCACATAGCCTTCTATCTTCTTTTGGTGCTTCATCCATCATTCAATATTTTGCCCATAGAATCCTTCAGTATTGAAACTCATGGCTGAGATTTTATCTTCAGTTCTTTAGACTTAAGATTTGCTGAGTATTTTCTTCCCGTTTGGTTTTCTAATTCCAGGTCTTTGTACATTGCACTGGAATGCTTTACTTTATCTTTGGAGTTGCCGTTTGGAGCTTGCTGTTAAGCTTTTATTTGGGCGTAGGGATCCAAGAGAGATAGAAGATCCTATGCTGCCAGCTTTGAAGATAGAAGTACAGCCAGGAGCCAAAGAATGCAAGTGGCTTTTAGGAAAAGGAAAAGGAATGAATTCTCTAGAGCTTCCAGAAGGAACCCAGCCCCATGGACCCCTTG